TTGAAATATATGAGCACTTTGTTATTGCTAAACAACCACTACACCTAAGGCTTGGTTTATCAATTAAAATAGTTAGCTGTGAGCAACTTAACCCGTATTATATTTATCTGAGTTAGTATCTTCCTTCTACTACACATTCATGCAGTCTATGAGCAACTGAATCGCTGCCAAAATTCTGCTACAAGATTGTGGGATAAGATATTGGCTGTAGGCTTTTATTATTTCATCAAAAGTACTCAACCAAAATGGGCTGCTTGACTTTTGTTTTTCATCTTTGCAATATTTTATCACTTCTATAAGTTGCCTGCCTAGGATGCCCAAGCCATTATCTTAATTGTTGTTGTGACCGATACTAAGTGTATCTTTTAAGAAGTTTTCCTTTGCCTTATAAAAATTTAATTTTGCAAGTAAGACTAATAGGACCATTTCAATTTCTTGAATCTTTCATTATTGAGCTTTCACTTTGAGAGTATTTTTGACCAAACTTCTGGTGTGTCAGGATCCACTGGAGAAGAAAAACGAAACATGCAGAAATTTCTTTATTCGCTTGAACGATTCATTATTGGTTTGGAAGAACAAGTTACCTGTTGATGCAAGGTAAAGCTATCCAGTAACATGATTTCTTCATTGTTTATGATTATCAATTTATCATCATCATAATAAAATTATTCATCATACTGGAATGGTCAAGTGTCCAGTCAAGTCTCTAAATTATGATTTAACCCAATTTGAAACCGACTCATTTAGTAAAGCTGTCAGACATTTTAATTTGGTCTTCTTAGTCTGATGCTTTTGATACCGGGGAAAGATTTATGTCTGGACGAGATTTTTGTTGACAGATTGCTGAAGAGGTAGGCATAAAATATCAAATATCAGGGGAGGATCATGATCAACTTTTCAGCTAATGTTGATTCATATGACTGACAGCGTATCCTGTTTCTTAAAATAGTATGACATGAATACAAAAATAAGATACTGTTATGTATTAATTGTGTCTACTTTGGTTACTCTGATTAACAAGATAAGCCCAAAGCTGTATTTTTTTACTCATAGGTTTTCTGACCTGACCACTTACAATCTATCTGTCCTGCCAACTTTGTTTCAGGCTCAGGTTGGGTTGAGATTGAAATTTTGCAGTCCTGGAGGGATGAATAGGGTTTATGTTTAGATTTCTCAAAATTCCTTTTTTCTTTCTTTTCGCCCTTTTTCGGGGATGGAGTGGGGGGAGTGAATAAGATTTCTGTAGGAAATTCCCAAAATGCTATAATTTTGATCTTGACACTAAGTTCATGTTATAGATCTGTTGGTTTATGTGATTTATATGATGATTCTATATTTCTAATTATTGAGCACAAGTAGCATCATTCACATACCGGTATATTTTGCTGCACTTCAGCGACTTACTGAGACAAGAACTGTCGCCAATAGTTGCACGCATCTCATGTACCGTGAGATTAGACCAAGATGATTATATCAATAACAGGGATTCTCAGGCAAAGAACCTCAAATTATTTTTTTTTTCTCTGGAATAATTTATGTTAGACTGAGGTGCATGATACACATCTAAAATGCATTTGGAAATGCACATGAAAAATTCTTCTATTTCCATGTCAAGTACTTAATGAATTTGGAGTTCTCTCATTCAGTTGGCCCTTATATGACATGTGACTATTGCCTAAAAACTGGGTTAGAAAAGGCAACAAGTCATTCCAAAGCGGTGTCAAACTAGTCACTACAGTGTGGAGTTTATCCTGAGGTACTTATGGGCAAAACTCTCCTTAAAGCTTCATTTTTTAAGCAACTAAAAACTTGTTTTGATGCCTCTAGGTTAAAAACTAGTCATTACAGTTTTTGTACTAGATCCCTCCACCTGGGTACTTACGGGCAAAACTCTCTTTGGAACTCCATTTTTTCAACAAAAGCAAATTTGTTTTGATGCCTCTAGGTTTAAAGCTTCATTTTTTTATGGGGTAAAAAACTCCCTTTAAGAAGAAATATGGGCATAGAAAATCTAGTGTGTGTGTGTGTATCAATTCTTTTTAACCTTGTTTTTTATTTGGTAATGTTTTTTTTCTTCGAAAATACCTACTTTAAAATAATCTTCTGTAAATTGTTTACACCCTTTTATTGTTTTATGATCTTTAGGTAGTTCAAGTTTAGGCTTTGTTTTTTTTTTAATCTATCTATCCAGTAAACATGTTATAATGAGCTGAATAAAGCAAAGACTATCTGTTATTTGGTTAAATAAGGTCATACTTTTGTTTGGATATGTATATTTGTGAACCAATTAGGTGATAGAAATCTAAATTTGAAATATATTGTATTTTTACATCTCTATTTTTTGGAACAAAATTGTTTTTAACATGATCCATTAGTTATCTTTTTTTAATGTTTCAACTGTTTTTGCCTTTCTAATGTTCTTACCTAAGTGTTATCGAGGCTTAAAGCGCAATGCGGGGCGCAAAGGTCCCTTACGCGCACCATGCGCAAAGCGCACAACGAGGCGCGCGCCTCACTAATTGAGGCGCATAACTCAAACTAATATTTGCCAACATCATAAGACAGAAACATATAAGCAACATATTAGTTACCTACATCCAAAATTATGAGAATATCAACTTAAATCATCAAATTATGCTAACTGAATTTTTAAAGTAATAAAAAAGATACAAGAAACATGTATTTAAATCATCAAATTAAGTGATTAACAATTATGAGCATATGTTTATAAATTGTCACATAAAAGACTAAGAAATATAATTAACAAAGAGGCGCGCGCGAGGCGCACGCGAGGCGCAAGTGAGGCGCACGCGAGGCGCGCGCCTCGCTGCGTGCAGCGCCCCGCCTCGCGTGCGGGCGCATTTCCCCAGGCCGAAGCGCCCCGCGCCCGGGGCGCGCCCGAGGCGCGCGCCTCAATAAGCCTGCTTACCTTATTTTTCAACTTTTTATAATGAACACAAATATTTCCTGTTTCATTTTCCCCCTTGTCTAAATGTTCTAAAAGAAAGCAGAGTTCGCTTTTCTTGTTTATGGTTAGCGCGAAGAGAGATAATTGACTGTTGATGCAAGTAGATGCTGGGTGCACAGAGGTCTGTTGAACAATCATGATGCATCTGAGTGGGGTTCTAATTCATTTCTATGTTCCAAATTAAGTCTGAATGTATTAAGTCAGGCTCCCCCTTCATGTTAACCATTCTACATTTGAATTCACAGACTTCACATTTTATGACACTGAAGGCACTGTACCAAGATTTTTGTTCGATCTCCCAGCTTATACCATGAGTTTTCCCCATGTTCATTAACTTGACTTAACCTTTAAAACTTGAGTTTCATGATTATTTTACTTCCATAACTGGAGCTTGGAGGTATTTTTAGTTTCAAGGATTGTGTCCCTTCAAAGATATTCCATTTAAACCTATTTGCACAGACAGAAGGACAAACACTGTTGATTGCTTTTCAACTGTTTCTCGTCATCAAAACATGTACAGTCTAAGGTTTCGAATGATATCTTGGGGCTAACAGCAAGCCCTGATAAACAAGTAACACCAATAATCGGACTCATACATGCGTCAGCATGGCTGATGCCTGGGTACTAAGAGTGAGAGAGAAGGGTATTTATTCTTTTTCATGGTGCCTAGGATGTTTTAAAAGTTCAGAAAATTTTAAAGCTCAATTGTTAGCAGAAATACAATGTTAAGTTCCATTATGCCTGTTTTTTTGCCAGAACCTGTCAGGTATGTTTTGTTTAAGATTAGCACCTCAGGTTTGTATCACTTGGATTTGTACCACATTTATTATGTTTTGAGACCCCTAGTAGTCTACTTCAGAATTAGAATTGCTGTTCTAACATTCTTCAATCATAATATTGCTAATTCTTCGACGCTAGTTAGTTAAGTGTAATGCTAGCTCCACTGCAATTTTCATACTATTAGCACTGTAAGACTTAGTTCATCCATATAAACCCGTTTGCTATTTACTAGGAAATAATCGACAAGCTGTATCTTGTTGTACCCACACAACAAAACATGAAATTTGCTTGTACAATTGGCATGCACCATTCCTCTAAAACAATCTGCTCAAACTTTCGTGTACTTTGTGCACAGGGCCACCTACTCGAAAATGGCTGAGGAGCTGTGTACTCTACTGGCATCCACGCCTGGCGAGGCATCGACACCAGTAGTTCAAATGAACTGCTTTGAGACGATGCTAAGTGCTCCTATCCCTGAAGACATCCGATCTTATCACTTGCAGGACGCGCTCTCGGTTTTCACCTATTTGCTAGCAGAGACTGCTTCTTGAATTGCATTTTTATCTTCTGTTCTCCTTTTTCCTGTGTAAATTTTATAGCCTGTTGCTGTATCCTATATGAAATTTTGGTATTTTGTGTTGAAAATGATCTAATGTATTTTGTGTTCTCTTTTGGTATGAAATTCATAATAGGATCTCATAGGTTCATGAATTTGGCTTATTTGTTTTTCATTGTTGTTGCTATTTTATATAAGCTGTGTATATCTTCTGCAGCTTCTATTTCTTATAATTTAAGCTTAGTAACTGTTATTTCAAAACTATTGGTAACAAGGAAGAAACAATAGTTTATATTCAATCTTTTATTGTTAGTTGTGTCAATTTTTATTATTCTGCGATTGGGTATAAATATTGTGATACGTAGCGTAAAACCTATGCTCTTTATGAATACTTATGAATATTGTTGTTGACTGGAATATAAATATTCATCATTTGCTTCGTGAGGTGAAACCATAGATCTAAGTGCAAGAAAATATATGATTTTTTTTTTCACTTTAAATATATTTATATTTCAAATTTTTAATGTCATATTTGCGTAGTATTCAGATTCCTTTTCTTTTTAGTTAGCCTTTGTTGTTCTGTTTTTTTTTTTTGGAGTGGGAGTTTTATTAAACCACCGAAACATAAATAGGAATGTAATTTTCCAGGCATAATGGTCCTAAACGCAAAAGTACCCTATAAATGCGATCTCTCCCCTTCATAAAACAGACGAAACCGACTCCGCCATCAAAAACCCTAGCTCCTCCGAACCCCTCGAAACCCTAGAGCGCTCTCGAGCCTTCTCTAATGGCGATGGCGGCAGCAAACCTCAACAAAAAGAGGAAGCCCGATCAAGAATCCGAGCTCCTCCACGAAACCCCGAAGCCCGCCATCTCCTACATCCCCAAACACGACAACTCCGACGACGACTCCGACGACGACATCACCGGCCTCCTCGAACCCCTCAACCGCGACCAGCTCCTCTCTCTTCTCCGCTCCGCCGCCCTCGCCCATCCTCCCACGCTCGCCGCTGTGCGCTCCGTCGCCGACCTCGACCCCTCTCACCGCAAGATCTTCGTCCACGGCCTCGACTACTCCACCACCGCCGAGTCCCTTCNCTGCCGATGACGTTCGAATTGTTACTGATAAGGCCACGGGGAGATCGAAAGGGTACGGATTTATACTGTTTAGGCATCGGAAGTCGGCGAGGAAAGCGCTGAAGCAGCCTCAGAAGCTTATTGATGGGAGGATGACTGGTTGTCAGCTTGCTTCGATGGGTCCTTCTTCTTCGGGGAACGCGGCTACGGCGGCGAACCCTAATTCGGCAGATAATTTGGCGAGGAAAGTTTATGTGGGGAATGTGCACCAGGATATTGATGTTGTGAGATTGAGGGCTTTCTTTGCGCAGTTTGGGGAGATTGAGGAGGGGCCACTGGGGCTCGATAGGGCCACAGGCAAGCCGAAGGGGTTTGCTTTGTTTGTGTACAAGACTTTGGAAGGGGCGAGGAAGGCTTTGGAGGAGCCATCGAAGAATTTCGAGGGGCATTTGCTTAGTTGCAACAGGGCTTCGGATAATAGCAGTAGAGTAGCAACCAGGGGGCCTACAGGACCACAGATGCCTAACCCTGGTTTAAACCCTAGTTTCAATCCTAACCCGAACCCTAACCCTAATTCTATGCAGAATGTGGCGGCGGCCATTACTGGGTCAGAGTTTGATGCAGCCGAATGCATTGCTGGCAATGCTGGCGGCTGTTCAGCAGAACCCGGCAGTTCTTGCCTCATTGAATCAAGCAGCGCTGACTGCAGCTTTTGGAGGAGGTGCAGTGCAAAATGTTGCTTCTGCTGCTCCGGGAGTTCAACCGACAGCGGGGATGACCAACCAGGGTTATGGTGGTATGGGGAGTGTTGGGTACCAGCAGAGTGTAGGAGGGTTTCAGGGTCAGCAGGGGATTCAGGGACCACCAGGGTTTCAAGGCCCTCCTGGGTTTCAGAATGCTACTCAGATGGGAGCTCAACAAGCTGGTGCTGGTGCTGCTGCAGGTTCTTATCAGGGCGGGGCAATGGTGCGGCCGCCGGTTGGGCAGATGGGTGGATATGGACAATCTTAGGTAAAGTCCTAGCTGTATATTATTATTATTATTTTGTTGTTGTTGTTCTTGAATAGAGTTGTTTCTTATTATTATTAAATCTTAGGTTGTTCATGATTAGTTTCTTGATTATAAGAATAGTTTGAGTTCGGCCTGTTTAAGTTTGTATATGTGCTCAAAGCCAAGCCTAGTACTAGACACCCTTTAACCGAGTTTCTACATACTATAGAGATATTCGGAGTCTGAAGTATGGATTTTAAATGTATGCCGAGTTAAAAATAATTCATTGTTCTCTAGGTGCAGAGTTTTACAACTTATATAAACTTAAAACTGGAGCTACAAACCTTTTGTTCATGCCATCAAGTTTTAGTTTAGATGAGACTTGAGCCAACTCAAATATTGTTAATTTGGTTGTTGTTCTCTTGGTGCAGAGTTTTACAATTATATAAGCTTAAAACTGGAGCTACAATATAATCTTTTTACGTCTTTCAATTTGATTGAGACTTGAGCCAACTCAAATGTCGTTATATTACTAACTATTGATGGAATTAAGCTCGAGTTTGCTAGTTAGTTATTTGAGTTTTCTTCTCTCTTTTTTTTCTTCTCACATTGAGTGTTACTCATTAAAGCTGTTTTGACTTGAATTTTCTTTTATACTACCTATTCTCCAGATTAAACAAACTTTTGCTAGTTAATGAACGGACAAGATTGAGCTTTTGGTATTATTAAGCTGCACATAGCTGCTCATGTAGTTTTTGCCTAAATTTACAATCACTTGTTTATTGTACTTGGGACTTTGATATGAACCTTTAGAGTCTCTTTGTAGTATTGGTATTATTTTCTGATGCTAATTGGAGACCTTTTTTAGTTTCATATGGAGTTTGTAATTGTTCATCAAGCTGTTCATAATTTGATTGTTTGTTTTATGAACTATTTATTGGACTTGGGTTTGAATTTTTCCTAGTGACTTGAATAGTACGCTTGAGCTTTTGCTAGTTACTTGAATAGTCAAGCTTGGGCTTATTGTATTTTCAAACTCAGTGCAGTGCCTCGTAAACTGCATACTTGAATTTTTAATCGATCCATTGAGTTTGGTATTGCTCTTCTTTCAAATAACAACATTTTCTCAAATGCTAATTTGTGTGCTGCTTTTCTTTTGTTACCCAATTCATGATTGTTCATTGAGCTATGCGACTTGTGTTTTGTTATATTACCGACTATAATTAAGCTTGACATTTCCTAGTTACTTGAACAGACAAACTTCAGCTTTTGGTATTATAAATCTGAGCAGAGCTGCGATGAACTGTCTGCTTGAATTTACAGTCAATTGTTTACTTGGACTTCAGTATGAGTCTTTAGTGCTTTATTTCTTTTATACTACTGGTTTTTTTTCTAATGCTAATTGATATTTTGCTTTGTTCTTAGTTTCACGCTGAGTTCGTGATTATTCATATGGTTTAGAGGTGTGGTGGATTTTGAATCTTGTTGGAGCTCGTAGTGTTGGACTTTGATGAAGCAAGACATGTGAAGGAAAACGGGTGTTCCCTTGCATGTTTTATGTCCTGATTTCGGGTTTTTGTCGTGTTATGGTTTGTGCCCTTATTTGGAGTTGTCTTCCTAGTTTCTCTGTACTGGATACATATACTACCTTTGCCTTTTCTTTGTTGATCTTGGTGGTGCTTTGTAGACTTCTTCTATTAGTGGATTTTGAATGTGTTGGAGCTCGTGGTATTGGACTTTGATGATGCAATACTTGTTTAGAAATAAGTATTATGTTTCTTGTTTTATGTACTGATTTTTTTCCTTTTTAATATATGGTTCCTGCCCTTATTTGTAGTTGTCTTCCTACTTTCTCTGTAGTGGATAATAATACTATCTTTTCTTTCCTTGGTGGGTGCTTTGTAGATTCTTACTGGGGGTTTTCAGAGGTTGATGACCTGTTCAAATTATCTCTTTAAAGTTAAGGTAGATGGTCTGATTTGAATTTTTAAAAAAAGTTTTATAATGTTCAGTACCATGGCATTGTTACCACAGAAAGAAAAAGAACGGTATTAATCACGTGTTTATGTTTTGAGTTACGTATCAGAAATGGACGGATGGTTTGAAATTATTTTGATATTTGATTCTCTCGGTGGCCATTTGATAAATAAGATGTGGAGTTTTTTTTTTTTTTGACTGGAGGATTCAGCTTTGTCAAAACCGTGTGCAACTATTTACGTGTGTGGTAACAGCTTGTTGTTTTCAACTCATCTTTGAGGTTCTGCTAGCCATTAGTCCAAAAGAGAGGCTTAGCTTTCTAACTCTGGCGGAGTTAGTTTTTGCCTTCAAATGCAAATTTCTGAGACAGGCCATCGTTTTATTCTTCATACAATTTAATCTTTTATGGGTTTTGCAATTGTGAAGGAGCTATATGTGTTGCGAACAAACTACTTAATATTTTAACTATGCTGTTACGTGTCCATGATTGATATTTTCCTATATATCTATATATTCCATCATGTTTTTCACCCTTCATTAGGAACCACTGCCTTCATTTTTGGCACTGCACATTGTCTCTGTCTGAATCTTTGTGCAGAATCGTTAAATTTTCAGCAGATAGTTTTTATTAACTTACGTGGGAGCAGGTGAACTATTGGGTTCGTTTGAGTTCAGTGGGTTCAAATATAACTTTGTTGGACATGACCACTCTGGAAAAATACCCGTTCCCCATTGAGACAAGAAATTTGAGCTGAGTAGGTTTTGAAAGGTTTTTCATGTTGGATGGAAAATATATTTTTTGATATTTTGAAAAGGACTGCTTACCCTTTTGCTTTGTAGATTATGGTGCAGCTTGCTGTGCTGGCAATATGAGGGTTTTTTTTGAAGTGTTCAACTGCATTGTCAACTTACATGATTATTCCAGTTGTTTCAGGATTCTAGTGCTCTGTAATTAGTCCTGGAGCTTGTGGTTTGGAAGTCAATCTTTGGACCAACTTTACTGAAAATGAATTCGTTTTGTCGGTTTATCACCTTTGGTGGTTATCGGAATATTTTGGTTATATATTTTCATGTTTTTCCGCCTCTTGTTTCTTTGTCTTCTCTGTTCTTTCTTTCTGGAGTTGTGCCTCTATCAATCATTGTTATGTTTCGTTTCCTTTCCCTTGCTTTTGTGAATTTGTTTGTATCGGTGGCTATAAAGATCTTAATCATTCTTGACACGTGTATATGATACATCAATTTGATTTCTTTTTTTTTTCTTTTATAAATTTATGTGTGCGTGGTTATTTAGCGAGTCGAAGAGGTCAGGTCATCCACGTGTGATTAGTAGTATTCACATGTAGAAACGCCTTTTATGGTTTTAGGAGTGGTTATATGTAGCCATTTATTGAATGCAATGATAAGTTTTTTGAAAGTATCCTGGGGTGGGGAGGGTTCATCCACATTTGTTGTCCTTCGGACATAGGCGGCTAGGAGTTCGAAGGTTGGCGGGGTTCAGGAAAGTGGGACAGCAGCTCAGTTGAATGACAAGATAAGGTTCGGTAATTTTATTGCCAGTTTAGAGTCTTATATTAAAGTTGGAATCAGAGTTTTGATGATTATGTGCTCCAGTTGTCTAGAAATGATTTAGAAATACTCACTCCTAGTATTAATACTAGGACTAGGATTAGACATCCAGCTTGGTTTAGTCTTTGAATTTCCTGTATAAGAAGCACATGGCCAGATTTCTCAGCGTCATCTAAACTGAGTACTAGAGATACAAAAATCTCTTCTTTTAGCCTACCAGCCAGTTACACTATGCCCGATGCCTGTGCTTATCCTACGCCTTCAATGCTTACTTGCCTCGCCATTGGAATCCTTGGGTTCCTTTTTGGAACCTTGTACTAACTTCTTGGATCATAATGGGATTGTGGGCGGCTCCATGCACCTCGCCATTGGAACCCTTGGGTTCCTTTCCGATCCTCAAAAAGTCTTGGTCAGCTCGAAGAGTCGACAGGTCTGGCTTCCCGATTCACTGATCAGAAAGACCAGTGAGGAGTCTAAGATGGCGACTCTGAGAAAGGAAGTCGAAGAGTACGGTGACTTTTTGCTGTTGGAAAACGTCGAAAGAGCGATGTAGCAATTTAATGGCCAAGATGCGTCGATTTTTTTTACATCGAGATTGATGATGTTTATGCTAGGTCGGGTCGACTCTCTCTCTACCCTTGGAAAAATCACCCCCATATCCTTACTTATATATCGGATGCATGAAGAAGGGTCCCTTTCGACTGATCCAAGCACAAGTGGTACGAGCCTCGATTAGGTTTTCTCGGCCGTAAATATTTTGCCTCGTATGCTGTTGGTATGAACGCCCATCATGAAGATGACCAAGCATCATGCGAGTCTGAATGCACACCGTATTCAGAGGAGAAGATTTTGGAGCTCCATGCAAAGGAAATATGCTCGGGTAACCCTGATTTATATATAATCTATTAGATGTTAGAATTTTTGTTTGACAATGTGAAAACGTAGAGAGAGATTTGTATTGAGAAGAAAAAAAAGGGGAAAAAGAAATGCTTTTGAGAATTTGTATTATAGAGTAACTATAAAATTGAAAATTTGGTTTAGAACATACGATGGACGGTTAATGATGCACTATTTTTTTTTTTTTATTGGAAATTGAAGTTTCGTTTTAGAACACATGGTGGACGGTTAATGATGCGCTTGTTTTTTTTTTTTTTTGAAAATGATAGGAACTTAGCTTATTGTATTTATATTACTACTTCATGTTCAAATTCAAAGTGGCCCGGTGAACTATTTACTACTGAAATACACGGAGAAAGTATAATTTTCCCCCCTTTCTGAAAATGCGACAACTGCAACATAAAAATCTATTCCCACTGAAGTAAAAAGAAAAATTATTATACTCTCTTTAAAAGTACGAGTTCGGAAAAATATTTTCTGGGGTTTGGTTAAAATTTTGGGTTGTTTTTCGGAGAAATCATCTTAATAATAGGGTCCAATATGTACGTAAACCACTTTTAAAATGAGTGTTTGTTCTAATCAACTGCTTCTTGGTCAAAAATTTCAATGAAAATCCAAAAAAATATCTTTAAAAAACTCACGCTTCTTGGTCAAAAATTTCAATGAAGATCCAAAAAAATATCTTTAAAAAACTCACACTTACGACACGTGACCAAATTTGTTAATGTTTAAGTCTACATGGTATACAAGTCATGTATCTTAGATGTGCAATTTTAAGATTATTATTATTTTTTTAATTTTCATCAAAATTTAACTAGGAGGTGGTTGATCGAACAAAAACACACTTTAGAGCTGATTTACATATATACTGAAAAATCAAAGATGGTTTCTGTAGAATAACCTTATTTTTAAGGTGCTTTCTAGGCAAATTTTTACAATGAGATGCAATTTGTAATTACTAATTTTAAACATAGTTAGGCTCTTAGCCCAAACGTAAACATAATTTGGCCTTCTAGATAATTAATAATTGTGATTAAGCCACTCGTTAGATAATTAATGATTGTGATTAAGTAGTGGTCTATCTATTATTTTTTTGATAGTGAAGAGGCTTTGAATCTGCTATCATTAATATGATAAAAGCGAACAAGAAGTCTATGATGATGTTAATAAGAAATGGTTTACGACAGATAGTTAGAATTATAATTACAGTTAAAAATGTCATGCTCAAGATATATAATGATATAATACATAAAATGTTATTTTCTGCTTAATACTATGAGGAGCACCAGGAAATCATGAACATGATTGTTCATCAGAATTTGGCAGTACCTAACTTAGAAACTCTTAAAGAATAATATTTGCATTGTTTGACCATCCGTAGAAAAAGTATAGAAGGACAGAAGAGGGGAATAAGGTAGAAAATTGTACTAAAATGTTAGTACCCAAATTGCGGGTAAAGAATGGGCTTGTTTGGATTGAGGGGAATGAGGGTGAAGGGAAGTTAGGGGAACCATTCACCTCCATTCACCTTGTTTGGGAACACTTAGGAGGTGAAGTTAATTCACCTCCATTCACCTTGGTTCACCCCCTAATAGTATAAAAATTGTTACCCCCTAAATTGGGGTGTAACCAAGGGGAAGGGAATTCCCTTCCCTTCCCTTCCTTTCCCTTCCCTTCCCTTCCCTTCCCTTCACTCAGTTTCCCTTAACTTCCCTTCACCCCCTACGAATCCAAACAGGCCCTTAAAGAATAATAATTTGTCGATAGCTTTGAAAAATTACATGTCCCCACTTTGAGAATATAAAATGTTTCAAACAACCCGATATAAAGAGTTTTTTTTTCCGTTAAGCCCTAGAGTATCGACATTACGAACTAAGCTGGTCATAGGTTTGACAAGGTTAAACTATACACTGCTAAAAAATGAGGCATCCTAGACGGAAAATTCCGTCTAGGATACCCAGAATTCCGTCTAGGATGCGTATTCTAGACGGAATTCCGTCTAGAATACGCGTCTAGTTTATTTCCGTCTAGTATGTAGTATTCTAGACGGAAATTCCGTCTAGAATACATCCTAGAGGATGTATTCTAGACGGTTTTGAATTCCGTCGACGGAATTCAAAACCGTCTAGAATACATCCTAGACGGATTATTCTAGACGGAATTTCCGTCTAGAATAATTTATCCTAGACGGAAAAAAATTCCGTCTAGAATAAGTATTCTAGACGGAAATTTCCGTCTAGAAATCTCATTCTAGACGGAATTTGATTTTTTAATTTTTTTTTTATTTTTTTAACTTTTAAAAAACATTCTAGACGGAATTTTAGTATCCTAGACGGAATTTCCGTCTAGAATACTATGCTACAGTAGTTTTTTTTTTTAAGAATCTACTTTGAGTATATGTACACAATATTGAACAACAAAAAATTATATTCATATCCAACACAATCTAATTAATTCCAATATCAAATCCAATTATATTTAAATAATACATTCACCAAAATAGTAGAGATACATAAATTATTTATAAACGTTTACATAAATTATTTACAATGGCTATGACACTGCTAGGAAAGAATGTAATTCATCGATACATGATTAATAATCTATTTGAGTTCCTTTCTGTTCTTCCAGATTTGCTTTCTGTTCTTCCAGATTTGTTTAACATCATCCATCTCCTTCCAGAATGCCTCATAATAGCCAGGAATGCTGCAAAATGAAGAACGGTTATGCATAAGGCAAGGAGTTATCGAAGTAGAGTATCATATTTCTTAGTACAAGCTATTATCTAAAGCTATTATCTAAATCAGTTAGTAGATGAATCCAGCAGGAACAATTTGAGGAATAGTGTTCCACCAAGAATAGTAAAATGGAGAGTTCCTGTACCCAAAACAATTAATATTCAAAGAGCGTGCGATGAGGTACTTAATCTCAAAATGTGTGTATGCAGGAACAATTTTAGCTCCAGGGACAAGCATGGTAAGTATTAAGAATTATAAATTTCTGTTTGTATCATGAACAAATAATAATATCCCGAATGAATTATAAATTTCTGTTTGTATTAATGAAATCATACGAAACCTGAAATCATATGAAACCTACTGTAACATGAATTGCGTACCTGATTTGACATGAAATATACCTGTTTGAGATGAAAATAATCACACAAAACCTGTTTTCCAAGAAAAAAATAAACAAGACCTGTAATAACCTGATTATTCATAAATTTATGAAATACGTACCTGAATTAGCCAAAAAAATTTCTGAAACCTATAAAAACATATAAACGGCCTGAATAGCCATATTTTAGTACATAACATAGCAAATAGCCATCCAGTATATGTGAATTATGACTGTGGGCTCAGAACTTGTTCAATGTCATCATTGTTAGCCATCCAGTGCAATATCAACAGATATTGCAGGTTGCTAATCTCAGAAAAATTAACAATCATCATAGCCTAAATTAAACACCCACAAACAGTATCATAATCAACAAACAGTGCGGAAAATTTGAACACACATAGAACTCCAAGTGACTGAACCCAACAACCAAAAACAGAAGGAACAAAATCAGAAGGAATGAAATCAGCAACCACCAACAACAAGAGACCAGCAACCAGATCAACCAACAACCAGCAACCAGATCAACCAACAACAAGATCAACCAACAACCAGACACAAGATCAACCAACAACCAGACCAACCAACAACCAGACCAACCAACAACCAGCAACAAGTAATGTGTATGTTTGTGATTCATCTGAAACAGAGGTTAATCACCAATTTTCATTTTCATAATATAAATGTACAATGTGAGGAAATGAGGCAACTGAAGGATGATTGCGACCCTACTTTGGATTGTTGGAGACATGAAGCAGCAGAATGTTATCTTGTCTTTTTTTTTCCTTAGCAATAATTTCAGTTTATCCCATTCAACAATGTCCAATTGGACATAATTAAAATAGTCCAGACCTTCAACCAACATTTTTTTTCCCAGAATGATAGAATAAGAAAAAAATCATATATTAGTATATTACTGCATATCTTCTACTGGGTCAATTTAAACTAATGATGCCAAATTCTATTACTTCAATAGCTTCACGTTCATCATGATAATTATATAACATGTGGAGAGATACGATTAGTGAAGCATCATGTTATGCAAACAAGAACAGGCTTGGTGAGGGACTGAAAAAGCAAATAATGGCACATATGCAGCTGAAATTCAGGACAACGGAGTTGCAGCAAGAAGAAGTAATTGAGCTAAAATTCAGATAATTATAGAAAATGAAAAATTGGTTAAGCATGGAATTAGTTTTTGCTGTTTCTCTCTTTCCTTTGACAATGCTCAGTCACAAATTAGATTTCCATCAAGCAAAAAAGAAAAAAGAGGACAGAAAATATGAAGCATATAGATATATACCAACATGAAATATCATAAAAGTCTGAAGAAAAAATTGGCAAGTTCAATTCATAGTAAAACATACCCTGTAATCAGTAAAACATACCCTGTAATCAGTAGAAATGACCGAATACAATGAGCTCTACACCTGAGACGAGGAACAACCAGATACAAGCATATGAATGAAAAATGAACTAAAAACAATAATTAGTCTTTAAAAGATTTCAATGTTATATCAAATTCAACACTTCAAATACCGTAATAGAAAAATTAGGACATCAGTCTCAACTGAGAAGGAAATCTGAGACACTGGAAAAACAAGCTAATCAATTAGTTTACTCCAATATAAGTCAAATTGTTAGTCTGCAGTTAGGACTGATACCAAAAGTATTATTGACATCGGGAATTTTTTTTATATTTTTCACATATTCCAGTTTCAGAAATTAAGTAATTCATTTTACTGCTTTTATGTTCATGAGTAAATTCACAATCTTAAAAACAATATTGACATCCATATTCCCTTGCCTTGAAATTGACTAGGAGACATCAACAACTCTGTGACGACAATATATAAAGTGCATACTGTATTCTCATCTAGAGAACTTCATATCACAATTTTCATTTCCTTATATCTCAAAAACTATGAATTTGGTGTTTTATCACTGTCACGATGATATGTGACAGTTATGGAATATGCTTACTGTTAACAGAGGAACATCTACGCTAACAAAGCCAATAATCAAGTCAGTAGCCAAAATAATTACTTGAAATTACCATAATTATGCTACTAATTAATTACCATAATTATGCATACTGTATTCTAAAATTAAACCCTTAAAATTTCCTAGTGGTAAAATGGGTCTAACTAAAATGTCAATCCGGTAATTTAGCAATTTAGAATGAATCACAATCATCCACTAGATAATCAAAAGTGATAAAAAATAGTAGTCTCCCCAACTTCATATGCTATTTTTTTCCATCGGATTCTTAAAGTTTTACGCTTCTACCTTCCTTTGGATATGATTTTGTTTGTGACTTTTCTAAAAAAAAATCCACCAGAGAGGGGTTCGCAGTTTTCTTCTACCCCTCACGTTATCTCAAAACGAAGCGCACGTATAAGCTTGATAATAAAATCTAGCAAATAACAGGTTACAGTCATTGCGGAATTAAAGCAAACAGGTGGTAGGTAAACTCACTTTGAGACCCTCCTCAATTCGGCAGCCGCCGCTTGCCGCTGACATTCTGTTTCTATTTGTGCGCAATGGAAGGAGGAACTAGCGAGTAGCAAAAAAGATTTGAGTTTTCGGGGCTTTGGTCGATGCCGAATTGGAAAATATTCAAGTACTTGAGAGGCTCTGAGTTCAGCTTTATTTGCTTTAGGGTTTTCATATAGCATTTCAGATCATTGAATCCTGTATAAAATACATAGAGTGAATGAATGTTGATATTTAAGATGTCAAATATAAATGTTGGTCTTTGATATTTTCTGAAGGATAATGAATACTCACAAACTAAGCTGTTGATCAGAATTGATACTTGTAAGGCAGAAACACTAATAAGTTAAAAAAAAACAGAGAGAGAGAGAGAGAGGGTGGCGGGGAGGGGGGGGGGGGATTCGACTTGCAGGCGAAGGCGATCGCCGGTCGATCTGTGTCGGCGACGAGGTAGGTGACGCCGAACTGGCCGCGCGAGCTCGCGGAGGAAGTCGTAGTGGCGCGGACGTCACCAGCGCGTCAAGAGGGCGTTGAGGCACGTGCGCGTGGTGCGGGGGGGCGGGGCGAGAGGCATTAGGGTTGGTTAGGGTTAGGGTTTGGAGTGGGTTCTGTGGCCATGGGGACTCAGAGTTGCCATGGGGTGAGCTTGAGGAGGGAAGGAGAGGAGAGAGGGAGGCGGTGGAGGGAGGAGTAGGAGCTTGGAGTTGAAGATTTTGGGGGATGAGGCGCTGTGTTCCTGAAAATTTAGATTTTAGGGATGAAAATTCCGATTTTGGGGGGAAAGGAGGGCGGCTGGGGTTTTGACGGATTTTTTTTAAAAATGGTCAGTTATTCTAGACGGAAATTTCCGTCTAGAATACATGGTTTTTTTAAAAAAAAAATAAAAAATAAAGAAACCGTCTAGGATACTATTCTAGACGGAATTTTCCGTCTAGAATGTTTTATTATAGACGGAATATTCTAGACGGAAAATTTCCGTCTAGTTTAATACATTCTAGACGTAAAAAATTCCGTCTAGAATATTCCGTCTAGAATACACGATTTTCTACTAGTGATAGAAAGCAGATTATTTGTTCTTCAAATATTAATAGACCGTATTTCTTCTAACATGGCACGCGTTTATAACCCAAATAAAGGGGAGAAATTCAGTCACACAACTATATATATATAGACATAAGCAACATTCATCTAGAACTTATCGGAAGTTATGCATGGGGGGATATAATGAGAAAGATATGGTTGCGAAAATTATATAAATAACATTAATGTAGGACGCTTAACGGACAATTTCATAGAGGATTGTGACAACCACAACCTAAATGCGCATATATACATACTATTAATTTATAGAAAGAACAACCACATCTTCCAATTCAGAAGTCGGATTTGCTAGTCTAAGAGATGTAGACTCAAAGCTAGAATCAAACAAATTGTTGGATAGCAGGTTTCCTAATCTGTTTTAGTAATATGATTCTTAATCTGTTTTGGTAACATGTTATTAGGATTCCTAATCTGTTTTTTTAGTTTTCTGTTTTGATTTTAGGTTTTCAATATATATGGAACGTCTTAGAAGAGATTAGACATCAAAAAAGAGGGTTTTGAGAGAATTCTTCAGAGAGAATATATATGGAACGTCTTAGAAGAGATTAGACATCAAAAAAGAGGGTTTTGAGAGAATTCTTCAGAGAGATCTCAGAGAGATTAGATCCTATTTAATTAGACATCAAAAAAGAGGGTTTTGAGAGAATTCTTCAGAGAGATCTCAGAGAGATTAGATCCTATTTATGGACATTGTAATCTTCGTCAATATTAATCAAAGAATTGTTGGTGTGGCTCCCAAGGACGTAGACACGATTTTCGAACCTCGTTAAATCTGGTGTGTTCTTTCTTGTTTACTTTCCTGTAATTTTTTATCTTTTATTTGCTGTGATTTTTCTTACTTTCCTACTCTCAAACATAAGGTCCGGAAGGGCAAGTGTTCGATTTGATTGTTTCGAATCCTCAACAACTAGTATCAGAGCTTCGTTTAGAAAGATTGTGAGAGAACCATGGCAGAGGAAAGCAAATCTAAGATCGAGAAGTTTGACGGTTCAGACTTCGCCTACTGAAAGTCGTAGATGGAGGATTATCTGTACCAGAAAGACTTGTATCGTCCGTTGATGGGCAAAGCTAAGGGAAAGAAGAAAAAAAGAGTCAGACGAGGATTGAGAGATACTGGATAGGAAGGCTTTAGGGAAAATCCGGTTGTCGCTCGCCAAGACAGTCACATGCAACATATTGAAGGAGAAGACGACAGTGGGACTTATGGAAGTACTCGCAAAGATGTACGAGTAACCGTCTGCCGCAAACAAAGTGCATCTCGTCAAGACACTCTTCAATTTCAAGATGGAAGAAAGACGCTCCTTCACAATGCACCTCAGCGAGTTCAACACGATTGTTGATCAACTCATCTCCGTAGATATCACGTTCGATGACGAAGTGCAAGCCCTATTGATTCTATCACAGTTGTCGGATAATTAGGCAGGTTATGTGACGACAATCAACAATTTGGCAGGGAATGACAAGTTGAAGCTGAGCGAGGTTGTTAGCATGATTCTATCCGAGGAGATTAGAAGAAAATCGTCTGGATCAGAAAGTTCGGGTTCAGTCCTAAATTTTGAGCAACGAGGTAGAAGCTAGAAGAAAGGGGATCAGAATAGAAATCGGTCGAAGTCAAATAAGAAGAGTTCAAACTTGAAAGTTAGGCCTATCAAAGGGAAGTGTTGGAACTGCGGCCAGGAGGGCCATATGTCTTCATCTTGTAAAGCAGAAAAGAATGATGCGAATGAGCAGGAGGTTCATATCGTGCAAGATGCCTTGATCCTAGCTATGGACATCGATTCTGATTCCTGGGTCATCGACTCAGGAACCTCATTTCACGCAACTGCTAATAGGAAGCTTCTTCATAACTATGTAGCATGGGACTTTGGAAAAATATACTTGGAGGATAATGAACCATGTAGTGTTGTTGGAAGAGGAGATGTGCAAATACAGTTGAAGAGCTCCAAGTAGAATCTGAAGAACGTGAGGCACGTACCAAAGCTAAAGAGGAATCTTATTTTAGTTCGCCATCTTGGAGCAGAAGACTATGTTTCAAAATTCATCGGGGATTCGTGGAGGATCTCAAACGGTATCATGGTTGTTGCTCGAGACAACAAAATAGGAACGCTTTACCTCACCTCACATGCGAGTGACACCCTCACAATTGTAGCTGGTAAAGAGAGTACAGATTTGTGGCACAATAGATTGGAACACATGAGTGAGAAGGGGATGAAGATTCTACATTCACAGGGAAAGCTAACCGACATTGATTCCGTAAAAGTTAGTGTTTGTGAGGACTACATCTTTGGAAAGTAGAAGAGAGTTAGTTTCTAGAAGGGTGGAAGACCACCTAAACCTCAGAAGCTAGAGTTAGTTCATACTGACGTATGATGTCCAGCTAGCGTGTCTTCTCTTGGCGGTTCGGTGTACTATGTCACCTTCATCGACGATCACTCGAGGAAGGTGTGGGTATACTTCATGAAACACAAATCAGAGGTGTTCGAGATCTTCAAGAAGTAAAAGGTCATGGTGGAGAACGAGACAGATCTGAATGTGAAGTGTCTGAAATCAGATAACGGTGGAGAATATGAGCTGGAGGAGTCCAAGAGGTTCTGTGCTCTAAATGGGATTCGTTTGGAGATGACTACTCTAGGGACATCACAGCAAAACAGCGTTACAGAGAGGATGAACAAACATTGACGAAGCGTGCCAGGAGCATGAGATTACATGCAGTTCTGCCTAAGACATTTTGGGCAGATGCGGTGCATATGGAAGCTTACTTGATTAATTATGGGTCATCAGTTATATTGAATTACGGGATTCCGGAGGAGGTTTTGAGTGGAAAGAAGATCAATCTCTCATATTTACAAGTATTCGGTTGTGTGGCAGTCAGGGACAGGCTAGAAGCTAAGTCACAGAAGTGCACATTCATTGGATATAGCATTAATGAGTTCGGGTATCGTCTTTGGGATGAAAAGAACAGAAAAATCATCAGAAGCAGGGATGTGATATTTAGTGAGGAGGTTGTTAGATCCTAGAGGGGGGGTGATTTCACTGCAGATTGTGAAGACTGCTGAATAGAGTTTTCATCAGTTGTCGGAAGTGTCGTTGAATTGTAACCCTTCTAGATCTATGTGAAAAGTCCTCTATTTGCCGCTTTCGATCACCGACCCGAAAGCTATTTGATTGTAGCTTTCGTTGTTGAAGCTAGATGGGAATCAACATCCATAGTGTCTTGAAGACAAATATTTGCCCATAGCTCTCTACCAAGCAACTCACCAACTGAGTCCAACCTTTTATTTCTGAAATCATC